GTAGGGCTGGGCCCGGCCTGGGTCTGGGCAGCCTGGTGTATCCCCGAGCCCGGGCACCAGGTTGTGCCGGGCCTGGCCAGCAGGGGGCAGTGTCTGGTTCTTGGGCAGCCCAGGGAGCATGGGATGGGGATACCAGGGGGCAGGGCTGGGGATACACAACAGGGCCCCCTCCCGGCTGGCTCTGGGCACCCGCCTGGCACAACGGGGCCCCGCTCCTGGCCAGGTCTGCAGACTTACGGGAGCATTTGTTGGTCCTTTCCGTGGCTGGCCACCATGTACAACCCCCTTGCTAGGCCCAGCGAGGGCTCGGTCTCCAGGGCGTATTTGGGGTCCCCGTTCCGTGCCAGCGCGGGGATTCCCCGTCCCAGAATGTAGGAGACGGATGCTGAGCTGGGGCCAGGCAGGGCGCGTGGGGCTGAGCTGAGGTTGAGCTGATAACCATGTCACCGCACTCCCCATCTCCAAGCTGGCTTCTCTCCCTGCCCTGCCCCCGTGCTAAGGGCTGTGGGTCCTGATGTGCCCAAGGGCTGCGTCTGGTGCCCAGTACAGTCTGTGATGGCTGAGCGGTCAGAGCCAGGGCGTACCCGAGGGGCGACCCCACCTGTCCTTAGAAGGGGGGGTGCACTGAGAGGCATCGCCTGCTCACCTGTCTGCCCGCTCCCCGCCCCCAGCTGTCCGGAACGACAGGAACAAGAAGAAGAAGGAGGCGCCGAAGCAGGAGTGTTCGGAGAGCTACATCCTCACGCCCGAGGTGGAGGATCTCATTGAGAAGGTGCGCAAGGCCCACCAGGAGACCTTCCCCGCCCTGTGCCAACTGGGCAAATACACTACGGTGAGTGCTCCGGCCTGTCCCGGCCCCTGGGAAGCGCTGGCACTGGGCACCGGCATGGCACCCACTGGGCTGCGGGTCGGGAGTGAGGGACAGAGACAGCTTGGGGATTGGCAGGGCCAGGGGAAGGGGGCTGGAGCTCCAGGGTGGGCAGGCTGCTTCTTGACTCCTGTGCTGGCCTAGCGGTGAGCACGCTGTCCCCCCCCCCCCCCCCACCGGCAGGGGCTGTTCCCAGCCTGCTGCTGCCTTGTCCTCAGCTCTGGGAGGGGAGTGTAGCGTAATGGTCAGAGCAGGGGGCTGAGAGCTAGGACTCCTGTGTCCCTTGGACATCTTGCTTCCCTGTCCTGTACCTCAGTTTCCCCAGCGGTACAGTGCCCCCCCTCCCTCGTTAATTACCGGTAGGCATGGGCAGAGCGCCATTCGTGCCAGGCCGGGGGTGGGCCCCGCTGTGGGGCTGACTCCCTCCCGCTCACTGGGGCTGGCGCATCCCTGCAGAACAACAGCTCGGAGCAGCGGGTCTCGCTGGACATCGACCTGTGGGACAAGTTCAGCGAACTCTCCACCAAGTGCATCATCAAGATCGTGGAGTTTGCCAAGCGCCTGCCCGGCTTCACCAGCCTCAGCATCGCAGACCAGATCACCCTTCTCAAGGCCGCCTGCCTGGACATCCTGGTGAGGCGCTGCCGGGAGCTGCTTCCCATCCCACTGTGCCTGCCCCCTTCTTGGGCCCTGTGCCTGGCCAGCAGGGGGCAGTGTCCTTGGGCGGACCAGGGAGCTTGAGGTGGGGGGTGCCAGGGCCGGGGCTGCACTCAGACTGGCTCTGCCCGCCAGCTCCTGCGGATCTGCACGCGCTACACGCCGGAGCAGGACACCATGACCTTCTCGGACGGGCTGACCCTGAACCGCACCCAGATGCACAACGCCGGGTTCGGGCCCCTCACCGACCTGGTGTTCGCCTTCGCCGGGCAACTGCTGCCCCTGGAGATGGACGACACGGAGACCGGGCTGCTCAGTGCCATTTGCCTCATCTGCGGAGGTACCGGCCAGCCTCCCTAGGAACCCAGGAAGGGGGGATGCACCACACCCCCTCCATCACAGCTGCTCCAGCTCTGGCCTTTCCCAGTGGGGGCGCTGTGGGGGGAGCTCTGGGCTATGCCAGCCCGGTCACGCGCAGCAGCGGGTGCTGTGGGGGGAGGAGCGCTGGCTGTGGGGGAGCTCCAGGCTGTTCCAGCC